AATATTAAATATATTTTTAAATTATTTGTCCTGGACCTTGTTCATGTTCTTTATATTGATGCTATTCTTTCACTAAGCTAATATGTAGAGTAGGATTACAAGGAACAACTAAAGTAATTGATTTGGCTTGGTTTAGGCTGGCTCTTGAGATCATTTCAGTAGGTAGAACTTGTTTAATTTTTAGGGAATAATTTTTTTTACATGTATTTCGATTCTTTGCATTTTCTTGATAATTCTTTGTGAATTTATTAATGCGAGACTTGTGTCTAAGGATGAGGAAAGGAGATCCTAGAATTGAGATTTTGCTCATCCCTCCTTTTTTAGATTCTATATTTTGAGATTCTTAGAGCTTCTCTAATGGTAAGGTTTAAAGTTCAAAGTTTTATTCTCTAATGACTATCTAAAAGGCTTGCTATATTTTCAATAGTGTTATTATGCCTTGTGTTAAATTTAGTGCAAGATTTAGTTATAGTTAAATTTATCAACTTAATAAAGTCGTCTAGAAATACTAGCCATCTCCTCAACTTTCAACAAAAATTTAGAAATTAGAAAACATTTCAAAGTGATTTGATAATCAACAAGCAACACAACTAACTTCAGAAATCAATAAAATAAAAAAAATAAAAATAAAAGAAATAACAAATCAACAAATTTCATAATACATTGTCAAAAAATTTCATAGCATTTTTTAGTGCATGCCAAACAATGACTTAGCTCATATTATAATGTTGCTCTTTCTCTTTCTTTATTATGATTATTTTATTTTCTATATGTAGTTTTAAATTAAGTTAATAAAGTTTTGATTATGTATGTACTATGTTGTTTCGAAAAAGTAGTTGATATAGGAGAAAATAAATGAAGGCAAAGTTTGTTGTGCCAAAAAATTACAAAATTAATATTAGAGCAACATTATTAAAATTTAGTATTGTCTCTATTTATTGTGAAAAATTAGTAATAACTAACTAATTAGGCATGCGAAAAGTAGATTCGGTCTATCAAATTAGGCACGAGAAAAGAGGATGTTACCTGATCTAGCAGAGTTTTATAAGGAAACTCACTATAACGAGAAAACACATGAGTAGATCTCATCTAAAGCGCAGTGTAATTATGTAAGTATATATTGCAATTTTTATTAACAAAATTTTAGAATACTATTTGTTATAATCTTATTTAATTTTCTAATAATTATTTAATTTTTTAATATTTGATATGAAAATATGAGACAAACACAGGCTGATCACCTTTCACAACCGGGATCAACCTCTTTGACTAGCAGTCAATCAAAGTCCTAAAGCCAAGGTCTGGCTATGTGAAGGGACTTGGCATGAGACCTTCATCCTCTATTAGGAGGACCACTACCATATATGCTAAAACAAATGATTATGTGAAGCGCTTTGAGATGCAAATAGAGACACAGAAAGAACAAATACAAATGCAAAACAATAAAATAGAAGATCTTAAAGAGGGTAGGAAGAAGCAAGGGGAAATAATGGCTGATATTGTTAACTTTTTGAGGACCAAAGGATTCACTGGACACTTTGGAAGCGGAGGGGATTCATCCACAAATGGACATACTTCTTGGTAAAGCGTATTAACTTTAATATAACAAATTTTATAAAAGAATATATGTTTGAAGAATTAGAAAGTAATGGAAACATGCATAGGACATCCAATTTGTACAAGTGTACGTGATGTATAAATTGTGAATTAGTCTTAAAAATATTTCTTTTTCTCTATACTTAAAGCTTCAAAAAAGGCCGTCGAAAGGCTAAATTATCACACAAGCACAGATTTGTACAAGAACCAACAAAAACACCTTAGGAGGAACCAATATAAGTTGTATGAACTTACGGCACATTAATGGGATGCATCATTTTTGAATTAGCTTTAAAATTAATTTTTTGTTCTCATAATCTCGAAAAAAAGTTTGTTAGAGGGATAAATTGTATAATTGATCTAATTGTAAATTGATGAGTTACTAATGTTTTTAATCTTTTGTATAATTAATTAATTACTGAAGCTTTTAATTTATTTTTTTCCAGATTGGATTGGGGTGGCATTTTTGACGTGCAACAATGATGTAATTTGCTTGAATTTTCATTTTTGTTTGATAAGGATACACATATTTTGTGAAGTTGCACTAGTTATTGTTGGATGTTTGGTGGAATTGTACAAGTTATAACTTTTGGATATTTTGTGGATATTACACTATTTTATTGTATTAGGATGAAATTATTTGTAATGATGAATAAATCTTTTCATTTTGTTAATTCGTAAATGTGTTGATGACAAGTTAGGTTAAGTTGTGATGGAATTGTTATATTCAACAGGTTTCAACATGAACATGGTTATATTTGTTAAATTAAAATTCAGATTTTGATAAAATAGGTATATAATGTGGAAAAAAATATTATGGAATTAGTGACAAAATTTTCCATCCCTAAAGAAGGTTTTTTCGTCTCTTATTTGGCTTAGGTGGAAGATTAATTTTGTCATGAATTCTTTATTTCGTCGTTAAATGAATTTGTCATGATGAAAAATATTGTCACATTTTGTCACTGTTACCCTCAATGCGTGACGAATTTTTTTTGACATTATTTCATCATTTTTAATGATGAGTTTGTTTGTTTCTATTAGTAGTTTCTTTGACAAAAAATTTCGTCTTCATTTATATTAAATGTGACAAAATTATTTCGTCTTTATTTCTTATATTTATGACAAAATACTTTCGTCTCTAATTTATTTCTTTAATGACAAAATATTTTGTCGCTAATTACTTACAAGTATGTTCCCAATCGAGTGCATTGGAGACAAAAAAATTCGTCACAAATTTATTATTTTTAATGATGAATTTGTTTTTGTCTCTATTGATAGCTACTTTGACAAAAAAATTTCGTCTTCGTTTATATTAAACGTGACAAAATTATTTCGTCTCTATTTCTTACATTTATGACAAAATACTTTTGTCTCTAATTTCTTCCTTTAATGACAAAATATTTTGTCACTAATTACTTATAAGTATGTTCCCAACAGAGTGTATTGGAGACAAAAAAATTCGTCACAAATTTATCATTTTTAATGACGAATTTGTTTTTTCGTCTCTAAGACCTCTTAGCGACGATGCTTTGGCAACAAAACGGGTGACGAAAAATTTTCGTCGTAATTAGTTTGAGTGACGAAATATATATATTTTGGGACAAATTTGTTTTGTCTTTAAATCTCAAATTTGTTGTAGTGTTTCTTCCTCTCTAATTTCAGTCCTTTACTGTTCTTAAATGTGACACTCTCATAAATCTACTTGTATGTTTCTTGCTGTTCGAAATTCTTTATTCTTCGATTCTGATTACCACATTTGGATATTGCAAATCGGTTCTTGTTTTTGAACCCATTTTAGATATACTAGTAATTTGTTTCCGCAATATCTCTTGCTTTTGGATTTTCCCTATATCACATCTATAATTACTCTTGTGTTGCGATTTAATCTGTATCCATAATTGTGCTCTATCTTTGAACATTGCCTTGGATTCGTTTGTATGTTATGAATTGATGCTTGCCATTGTGTTTGTAGAGTGTCTGGCAATGTCCTTTGCCATGTTTGTGTCTCTTTATATTTCTGCTTTAGTTGGTTCTTGAACTTTGCTTGCCTCTGACGCTTGTTGATTTTGAATCAAACTCCTCTGTTTTTATTTTTCAGATCTTTGGCCCTTGATTCTTGTTTCTGTAGTTCTAGGTTTGGGATTTGTTTTAGAACCCACATCTTTTAGGAAAACTAAAACAAAATTCCTCTTGGATCTTCAAAAATCCTCATGCTAATGCTCTCTAGGGTTTAGTTGTGGCCTTCAAACCTATACCAATCACTCTTTTCTAAAATCTTGTACCAACTTCATTAAACCGACATCATGGGTATGTTTAGGTGGAGGGTAGACACCCCGGCCAAACTAGAGTACTTTCGACAAGAGTTCTCCATCCCAGTCGACGTTCAACTTAGGTTGGCTGGGGAGGAGGACTTTATCATGCCTAATGGAGATACCATGCTATTCCCAGTAGTTGCCTTCATAGAGTGTGGACTTAGGTTTCCCCTAGACACCCTCTTTAGGGAAGTCCTCAACTACTACAAACTCAATCCCACGCAGCTAGCCATCAATTCCCATAGGGTTATCAATGGTATAATCGCCCTAGCACGCTGAGAAAAGGCTAGGATTACACTAGTCGACATCCAATTCTATTACATAATGTGTGGCCTTAAGTCTGATAAAGGCTATATATATTACCTCAAGCCCATATCCACTGCCTACAAACTCATAGCCGACCTCCCAGACTCCAACAAGGGTGTTGGAGATGATTACTTGATCGTCTCGGGCAACTGGGAGTTTGCGCTTGATGATGATCTTCATCACTTTCCTTTGCTTCGAGTAGTGTTTAAAGAGGGTGATGGTAAGAACTGAGTCATCTCATAACTTACCTTTACTAAGACTTGCTAGTTCATCTTATCTGTACTAATGTCTTCCTTTTGTTTCTGTTTTGTAGCTCTTTCCCAGCCATCAAAGGATTTCTGCCAAACTTTCTGCCCCAGCCCTGATTTGAAAAGGCTTCTAGGTTTGGATATTGATAAGCGTAAAGCCCTTTTGCTGCTTGATTATATCCCGACCTACAAGTTTGCCCCCAATGTTCTCCGTCGAAGTAAGACTCCCCTATCAGCATCCGCCCCACTAGTTACTTCATCGCCAAGGCCAGACCAGGAATCTTCTTCAGATCTAGTTAAGCTGCCTTCTACTTCTGCCTTCCCAACTTATCTCGACATCCCAGCGCCGACGTCGACGCCGACGCCGACGTCGACGTTGACGTCGACGTCATGCCCTAGCAAACGCACCAGCCGGTAGAACTCGGAGTTGCAGACATCAAGAATTAGAGACATCAGTCTATGATCCAGCTAACCCTCCTGTAGCCCTTCTGCTATCCACTTCGGCACCTGAGTTACTGTTGTCACCACTGTCGACGACATGGGCCGCAGCAAAGCCGTTGTAGAAGACCTATTAGACAACTTGCCAGGAGTGGTTCATGTTCAGTCCTCTCCATCACAGTCCCAACCCAAACCAAAAAGAGTGAAGAAGGCTAGGGCCAAGGCAATAGTGACTCAGGTTGACTCTGAGGACACTGTGCCGATCTCCAAGCTGGCTGAGATCAAGAAGAGCTCAACTGCCGCCGAGAAGAGTCTTGCCGAGGCCGAGCCATCCGACACCACTCGATCGAAGAAGCCGAGGTCCAAGGCCACCGCAAACCGAAGTGCTTTCAAAGTCGATGAGCCTTGGGTCCCTGCAATCATGGTTGGGGACCGACCAATCAAGGCCAGCAATAGTGCCATCGACAGTATCGAAGTCGGCGTCGCTCTCTCCACCGTCGTTCTTCTGCCTACCGATCTAAATCCCATGGCAGAGATCACCGAATACAAGAATTTTGCTTTAATGATGCAACACTCTGTTCTGGTAAGTCCCAACACTTGTAATTTTTTCATTTTGGTTTTCTGCCCTTACTTAAGCAATTCTGATTTGTTTGTTTCGTTCTTTCTAGGTTATCTAGCCACTTCTTTGCGATGAAGGCCGAGGATATCAAGAAAGAGTTGGTTTAAAAGACTAAGGAAGCTACTGGCTTCCTCTCTTCCCTCAACAACATTGAGGCGAAGATCAAAGGCTTGATAGATCAGGCTAAGGCTGCTAAAGCTGCCCAAGACACAGCCGAAGAAAGGGCTGACGCGGCGGAGGCTGTGGCCGAGGTGCTTAAAGTCGAGGCCAAGGAGGCCGAGGCCAAAACCACCGATGCCAAAACCGTCGAGGTCAAGGCAGAGCTCCAGGAGGCTCTGGCTACTAAAGAGGTTGAGATCAAAGTAGCTGACGAGAAGGCATTCTCTGAGGGGCAGGCCACCGTCCGAGAGGCATACAAGGTCCAGGTCAACCAAGCTTGCAATTGAGGCTTTTACCTCGGTTGGACAACAGCTCTGAACAAACTCTTAATCCCCATGGATTCCCCCCTCAGAGACATAAACCAACTCCAAGTGCCTTTTCTTCCCTCTCCAAAAGACTCCGAGGACGAAGCCAAGGACGAGGACGTCGAGACTGACAATGCTGATGAAGAGGAGGCTGCTACTGGGGCCAATCCACCACTCTGAATGAGCAAGTCCTAGACTTGACTCAAGATAAAAAGGACGAGGTGTCACGACCCAAACCCGCCTCTAAGGGTTTAGTATCGTAACCGACCAGTAATTTGTGATTACCAAGAGCCTGATTAGCAGTAGAAACAATTGAACAATAAAAGGGGTCGGCGGAAGCCTGTTTTAAAACATAATGTCCAAAGAGCTGTGCGGACGTAAATAAACATATTACTTCCATATGAATATATACATATATGCACACACATAAGTCCAAGTCCATGTCCAATATACATAAAAAAGATTAAGTCATAAATGTCTAAAACATGCTAGGGAATTAAATCCCAAGCTCAAAAGAAAGTATAAAACATTTACTTGACATCAAACAATTTTCCAAAAATAGTGGAATTAGATCACCTAAAAGCCTTGACAATAACGGCTCAGAGCCTCGTAGTGAGACACAACGGATTGGCTTGAAAAAATGAATTTGGGTCGACGCTGCTAACCCCGCTTAGGTACCTGATCCCCTACATACATATATATAAATAGTGAGCTAAAACCCAGTGAATAACAAATGCGTAAAGCGGTTAAGAATGAATGTCCTTTCAGTATTTAAAATAGTTAATTGTATTAGTAAATCATTTATTTGATCAATTTCTCATATTCCATATCAAAACTGTCGTATAATGATCACAGTAGTCATACGTGGTACATCCAATAGCATAACAGTACAGTAGGTCTTAAAAAACCGAACATTCGGTTGATGGCCATCAATACAGTAACAGTAGTTCCAAAGATTGGAACTGACAGAGATCTCTGTAACAGCAGTAGTAACAGTAACAGTAACAATAGCAGTAATAGTTAGTTGACATGGATGCCACGAGTACAATTCATAAATTAGGACAAACATTCATTCAGTAAACAATATCATTTCCAAAACCAGTATAGTTAATCAGTCAAAAAATAATTATAATTGAACATAGCTTTACAGCATTGTTACTCACAGCGGGGTCCGTGGAACACGTGCTAAAAATACACTAAAGACGCAGCATCTGACCTAAATAATCAAATTCAAGCACAGCAATTCGATTACATCTATGCCGGATTCAATCATTCTATTTCTATTCGCTTCGTTGTTATTAAATTTCTTTCCGTTGTTAACTTGTTCGGATCTATTTGGTTCTAACTTTCATTCATTTCACTTATGAGATGTAATGCACATGAAAAACACTTTTAACACGATGCAAATGTAGGCCCGGAAGGTAGAAAAGATGAGCGAAAAGGCAACCGAGGCTGCCCAAAAGGGCCGCACATGCGGAGGGCTTGGCCGCACATGCGGGACTAGTGTCGCACGTGCCCCTCTCACCTGCATTTATTTCAGTGTGTAACACAAAACTGCCCTGTTTTCCGCACGTGCGGTGCTGGGTTTGTTTGAGGCTGAAACCTGCCCTTTTATGGCAGTGTATTTCCTGTACAAAAACAACCCCATTTTCATGCATTACACTCCCAAAACCTCATGTAATCATGTTAGAATTTGAGCTTCAATCATCAATTACAAACCATGGCTTTGAAAGAAACTCAATTGTCCATTTAAACAAATCAAAGTTTTGAAAAGATATGAAATCTTGAACTTTAAAGTTAGAAAATTGAAATCTTGAGCTTTAAGTCTCAATTCCCATGAAATTTCCCTTTAAGTTAAAACATTCATGCAAGACAACAATGCATGCTCAAGAATTCCATATCAACAATGCCATGCATGGTGAATTTAGGAGCTAAATAAGTTAATTCTTTCCTCCGAAGTCATGCATGTATGACACCCTTAAGAACATGAGCAAACCTTCCAATTAGTCATTAATTTACTCTAATTTCAGCCTTAATCTTTAAAGATGTTGCATGTGTAAATCTCAATTTCAAGAAATTAAAGAGAGGATGCTTACCTTACTTGTTGGATTATGAGAACTCAAGGCTATTTTCTACCTAAGTTCTTCTTTTCTTCCTCTTGGTGTTCTCTTCTTTCTTCTCTTCTACTCTCTGAACTCTCAAGCAAAATCTCTCCCTCTCTCTCTACATGTAACGCTCACTAAGGCCACCAACTCTCTCTTAAGTTCCTTTTGTTAGTATTTAGCTTAGGTTGATTATAACATACATCCTTTAGGCTTCAATTCAATTGAATAATAAATTAATTAAAATCAAACTCATTTAAATTAAATTAACCTAAAACATTTATGACTTAAATCAAACTAGTTTTAATTCACATAATGTGAATTAGGCTCTAATTTCATATCCTATTATTAAATTCTAACTTATTAATATTAGCAATTCAGACAGGTTTAATCTGCACCTATACGGATATGTTCACAATAATACATGGCACAAATCAATATGATACATAAATACATGGCTCCTAATTCACAATTAGCACATAATCACATGATCAACATTAAACACATAACTAATTTAATTAATTTACCTAATCAAGGAGGCGATCGTCACACGAGGTCTCCAAGAGTGCCTCGCCCAAGAAGACCACTTTTAAAGTAGAGATCTAGACCACCGAGAAGAGTCTTGACTTGACCCTTCTCGACATCGATGCCGAGATCGAGGCTGAGAAGACTGTCGAGAAGCTTTCCCAATTGTCCGCCGAGGCCAAAACATCGTCAACCGTCGAAGCAGAACAGTCTACTTAGAAAATTTTCTTGCTTTGTACTTTTTCTTTCGCTTTTGAACACTTGTAATAGTTTGTTTGTTTGGCCGAAGTGCCATCTCTTATACTTGGACAAGTAGTCTTTTATTGCCAGGCTGACATGCCTTTTGTATCTGAACAAGTTTCTTTTTTGAATGCATGCTTCTATTTCTCTAAGTGTTGAATACTTCTTTTCATGTATACTTACTGCTTTCCTTCTATGCTTTTGCATGTTTCCCCACTTAGAATATTTTTGCAATTTTCCAACTACACCTGAACTATGTAATTACTTCGGGTTAGAATACATCTGATTAAGGCCGAATTGTACAACATTAAGGCCGTTAATTAGGATCTCTTAACTTTACTTGCTTGTCAAACTGTATATTTTATGTGTATTTAATGCCAATCAGGTTGTATATAGTCGGAGCATAAAATGGGCAAAAATATAGAATTTGGAGAGAAAACAGTTTCCTGCACGTGCGTTGACTTTTTTCGCACGTGCGTTGACTTTTCTTGGAAAATGGGCCTGATGTTTTAAACCTGTTTGAAAGGCAGCAGAAGTATAAATATACAAGAAGGATGCTGGATTAGGGTTCGTAAATTGATTTGCAAGGAAAGAGAGGCTAGGTTTTTCAAGAGGTGATATTTTCCAAAAGCTTCAAGAAGACTTCCATAGGGGCTTCTTCTTCATCCTCTTCTCCTTCCCACTCCTCCATGAGTGGCTAGGTTATCCTTTTCTAGGGTTTTGATGAAACCCTAGCTATGTAATTAGGTTTTCTTTTTGATTTTTAATTATGTAAAGGTTTAAACAATTGTATAGAGTTTTAGAAGTTTCGTATATTTGTTTTCCATTATTTCTTTAAGTATTCGGCTTTCTGTGATTGTTGAATGTTTTCCATACAATAGTTTTCTATTCTTTCACATTCAAGGTATGAGACGAACCATATTACAAGGGACGAGTTGTGTCGCTACCCTAGTTTAGAGTGAACAATTCATATTACTTGAGATGGTTCGTGCCCGTACATTGAACGTGATGATTTTCTTGTTAAATGCTTTGAACTTGTAGTTGCAAAGCATTATTCCATTCGAACCGTAACATAATTGATTTCAATTTGAAACCCTATTTGCATAACTAGTGGTGAACTCATTGCCCTAGATTTATCCCCAAATCAATAAATCCAATTTTATTTATAATTGCTAGTTTAATCACTTCATTTATTCTATTTGTTATTAAATTAGGTTATGAACAATCAATCTTTTTAATCAAAATTAATATAGGAATTTAGCAATTAAATTAGTTTAATTTCACAATTGTCTCTGTGGATTGATACCTAGACTTGCCATTATTCTAAAGAATTTGGTATAGTTTAGTGTTTAATTTGGTGTGTGTAACGACCCATCAACATCTAACATGTATCATCTCGGATCCACTTCATCTCGGGTGCAGCATTAGTTGGCCATTTCAGACCAACTTACCTCGGAGTTTACCTATTACTGTAATCTCAGCCAAACAACGCTTACAAATATTTTATGCTAACATTTTTACAAGTGTTCTTCCTTCACTTGTACTAGCTGTGCTTTAGCAAGACCTCACCCTTTCAAAGATAGACTAACTTGGTTGGTGATCTTGGGTAACAAGCAATTCGAGTATCTTTTATCTGGATACCTCGGTTGACTCTAATTTGTAAATTTTTTCAAAAATTTCAATAAGTGTCAAGCTTATTCCTCATTCCTGCCTCGTAATGCGAACCTAAGTACCACTTATGTTCACATTAATTATATAACTCCAATTCTTACCGAGGTCTGATTCAAACAAAGATTAGTCGAGTTTTACGACCTCGGTTTCTCTGTTAATCTAACTAGATCAAACTTAGGTCAACTTTGCCATAGTGGCAAGTCTAAGTTACCCGTCATGTTTCAATCGGAAACATTGCAAACTTAGTTTAACTCTATCATATGGCAAGTATAATTCAACTTGACCATATGATAAGTGTAAGTTATTCGTCATGTTTCAATCAGAAATATCACAAACTTAGTTCAACTCCATCATATGGCAAGTATGATTCAACTCTACCATATGATAAGTGTAAGTTATTTGTCATGTTTCAATCGGAAACATCACAAACTTAGTTCAACTCTATCATATGGCAAGTATAATTCAACTCTACCATATGATAAGTCTAAGTTATTTATCATGTTTTAATCAGAAACATCGCCATAAGACTACTTCGGTCCTATCGCACATATATCAACAATAATAAAAATAAAATCATACAAGTGTTTTATTAAAACTTTGGCTAATAAAATCAGTACATAAATCTAAAAATAAAAACTAATG